ACGCTTATTGTCCCAGTACGTCATGCCTAATCTGTGCCCGTACATGATTTTATATACAAGAGAGATGATAACCTACATGATTATTTGCGTAATGCGCTAATCAATTTGAGTGGAACGATAAAGAGTTAATCAGTCATCATACAATATTGATGTCTTAGTGTCATACAATATGACATCAGTCGAAAAAAGCGGCAATTAATCATTTCGCGTCTGATCTGTGTAAACTTCTGCCTATGGAACAATTGCGGCGTTCGCAATGGTAAAAAAGTGCCTACATCGCTGATATTTTCGCCGAAAGCTTAAAGGATAAAACAAACAAGAAATGATTTTGATTCCATGAAAATAGACTCATTTGATCAGTAATTAAACTTGGTGTAATAAAAAATTAAACAATAATTCAATATATATTATTTAATTGAACCCGTACCGCTAAGGTTACCAACCAATGGGGCTCGCCCTCCCCAGGGGGTCCCAAAGCTGCAACATAAGGAGTGTAGAGCTATTACCAAAGTATTAATTCCCGAATTAAATAGAACTTGTTGAAATGATACGAGAATATGGATTAATAAAGAATGATTTTTTACGTATATTCATTAGCAAACTCCTTGATAACAGAGAACTATCCAAGAAGATTGAAAAGAAAAGCGCCACTGGATTTAAGTCATCAACTCTCCTGATAAAAAATGGAAATGACTTAGGCATTATTTATAAGAAATTATTTTATAAGTAAGTAGTTAAAATTATATAATTATCAATAAAATATTGTTAATATTATATCGAATGGGAAAACAACTATTGAGTTGTTTTTCCAACATGCCCCTTTAGTATACATTGTCCCTTTACTGCCGACTATTGTAAATTCCACAAATTTATTAAATGTCCTTAACTGGGCAGTTATAAATAAAAGAAATAATAAAAAAATGCATCATGTTTTATATAAATTTGCAGCCTGATAAATACATAATAATATCAGTTGAGGAGGGCGCTGTGCAAAAAGGTTGAAACCACTGCCGTACGGTAAAAAATATGTGAATTATTTCACACAATGCAATAATACGATTTTTTGCTATCGATTATATACAGAAGAATTGTATACAAAATTTTCCAAAACTTTAATTATTTTTAATAATTAAACCACTTCTCACAGGCCTATAATTTTTCAAGGTGTTCGGTTTGACTATCAACTCTATCACAATGCGGAATTTTATCAAAATCGCAGAAAATGACAGTTGAGGTTCTCCTTGTAAGTACAAAATTATCACGATTACATAAGGCCCATCAGGTTTCAAACATGCCCCCAAAAATAACACTGTTAAGTTTGAGCTTTTGTGAATAATGTCAATATTTCATCTCTGTCTTTGATTCCAATATTCTAACACAAAGTATCGAATTTTATGATTATCTCAAATTATATAATTTTTTTTTTCAAAAAAATGTAAAAGCTCAAAACTAGTTTTTGTATATAATCCTGAGCTCCAAATTTATTTTCAAATTTATTGTGGCTAGGGGGTAGGTTCGCAGCTTAACGCTGTTTCGTTTAGCGCTCTTTTATTTAAATCTAGGTTTTTAAGGGGTAAATGTGGAAGATGTCGAAGAAATAATTCAAGAAGCAGCGCAGTCTTTCTAATGATGAGCTCAAGAAGAAAACTAAAATGTTGACGGCCATAATTCAGAGGAATAGAGTTCGATGGCGTTTGTAAAAAGAAGTTTGTCTACCATAACTGAAATAATGAATCAATTCATTGAAAATAATCGGAATTTAGACAGAAGCTCAAAAGTAAGGCGTAGAGTTAGAGATGCTCAATCCGTTTATGAAGAACTTTTATGAGACGCAAAAAAAGCAAACAACATTAGGTGTTTTTGTCACAAAAAGGCAGAATGCTGAAAACGTGGAAGGCTAACTAAATATGATTGTCTTAAAATTTTATGTTTTTTCAAGAATATTCTTTATATTATTAAATTCCCGTAGGGTAGTTATAGTAATGGGCCGAAAATCGAAAATGAAAATTTTTGCATTTCTCGACGTTTTGAAGGTTTCTGAACATTATAGCATATCTCAGAAAAAATGGATGTGTGTATGTGTATGTGTTTTGTATATCCGCATTTTTTCGTCCACGTTTTCGGGCGCACGGATCAACCGATTTGAATGGTTCAAAAAACATTCGATTTCTATTGATACGGTTCGGAAATACTCGAACATTTCGTTACGGTTCGGAAAGTTCCAGCAATTTGCCTTAAGGCACGATGCCATTCATACACCCACCTAGTTTATATTTTGTTTTTATTTTTGCAAGAAATAATAATGTGGTATTAATTTGTTCTTCAAGAAATAAATGTTTGGTTTTATTTTTATTAAAAAACGCACTTTCTAGATTTAATACCTAACCAATTTCCTAGCCTTCTTGCCCTAACCCCAATATTTCCATGTAAAAAAACCTCGTTTAGCGCTGTTTCGCATTACGCTCTACTTTAATGGAACGTATCCCCCGCGTTAAACGATATTACTGTGTGTAATATAAAAAGTAATAGTTTGATATTATTTTCTAGTACAAAATCAGTCACAAATAAAAAAAGTAGAACTGAAATCTAATAACTGAAAAATTTGTGAATATATTTTTGCCGGTTATATTATTATTCCAATCCAGAATTATCAAGTAAGTACATGTATTGTAAAAAGAGTTTTAAAGTTACCTTTGCCCAAAATGACAGCTGTCTTACATAAAGGCAAAAAGAAGCGATAAAAACTGTAAAATGTATATATTTTGTACCCCACGTATGAAATTGAAATATAATTTCATTAAAGAAAAGTTATTATTAAAATTGTAAAGTATTGACATGAGCCTTGCCGTAATGATACCATTGTACTGGTGACTTGAAAAAATAAATATGAATATTTACTACTATTATTATTATTGTCATTTAACGAACTATATTTCGACAATGTATACGAAACCTAACAAAGCGCCGGGCGCGCGCACGTGTCGCGACTGCTGAGCTCGGACCCGCAGGACCACGTGCTTTTTAAGAGACGCTGAAGACAACTTAATTTTTCCCGATCATTAACGTCGCGTCGTCTAATACAATGTTTTCGTAGAAAATGAAACATTTTCAGATGAAAACATCTATGTACTGTACAATGACTTCTGCTCATTATTGTGTCAAAACCGATAAGCAGAACCGACTGTTTTGTATAGCTATCTGCAGCTATAATAGATATATGACAATGCAAAATGCAATGCGAATGCGATAATTGAATTCATTAATAATAATAAAATAAATTAATAAAAAACTAATATACATAACAAATTTATAACATATATACATATAAATCTAAATAAATAATTATGTAACAAATGTATTCTGAGTGGATAATAGATATTAATTTGGAAATATGAACAAGCAACACTCTTTTTTGCACTAATTTATTAAATAATAATTTTCACAAACGTTTCGAGACTAGGTGTGTCTCATCACCAGTGTGTTATAATTTAAAATTTAAAATATGGAAACCTAAATTAGCATTTTGTGTTATCCATTACAACAGAGGCAGCAGAGGACAGTATATCGAGCGACTTGTAATGGATAACACAAAATGCTAATTTAGGTTTCCATATTTTAAATTTTAAATTATAACACACTGATAATGAGACACACCTAGTCTCGAAACGTTTGTGAAAATTATTATTTAATAAATTAGTGCAAAATAGAGTGTTGCTTGTTCATATTTCTAAATTAAAAAATAATTATGCATATATATACAAGGGTGGTCTAAAATGTTTCCGACTTATAGAAATTTTTTCTTAATTTTATTTATTGTAGAAAAAAAATTAAAATGTAAGAAAAAAAATCTCTGTAAGTCGGAAACTTTTCAGACCACCTTTGTATATATTAGGTTGTCAAATATCTCCCTTCCGCTTTTTTGCTCTTGGTTTATAATACACAATACACAATTATTTATTTAAAATTATACGTATATATGTTATAAATTTATTATGTATATTAGATATTAGATTTGTTATGCATATTAGATACAAATATCTAAAAATGTATATCTAATGTATATCATACTATATGTATTCATAAAATCTTGCTAATCTTATCAGTTATCTAATTCACTTAACATATTAATTGATTAAGTTTCAATAATTAAGGCAACAAGAGCAACAAGAACATTCACTATTATTTATTATTTTCAGGGTAATTATTTTAATATCTAGAAATGATCATTTAGTTTTTAAATTTCAAAATAATTTTTACCCAGAAAAAAACTGAAACGAAAAAATATTATAGTTGTAAAAAATATTAATAATATATTATTGTATCAAATCATATATAACATTGTTTAAAAAAAGTGGTATCTAATTTTTCAATTAAAATGTACTATAAAAATATATACGTTTATATGTATTTTTAAATAAACAAATATATATATATATATATATATATAAATAAATAAATATATATATATATATATATATATATATATGTATATATCGTTTATTTGAAAGTATATATGTTCTACAGAAATAAAAGGAAAAAGTAAAGTATGATTAGCTATCTCTATAACTGTCACCGTATGACTTTTACAATAATCAAAAGATAGAAGTTCAAGAGATCATTTGTATTTAACTTTGCAGTTTAATGATAATAAAATACAATCATTTATGTACTGGATTTTGAGAAATAATTCAGAAAATTTAAAAATTAATAATCACGTTGTGTTCTATTAATATTTAGCATATTGGTTTAATATAATTTTATATGGGCAGTTTATGCGGCTCTATTATAATAGTAATTATAATAGAACAGTTATCGTGAAATTTATAATTTACGCACGATTTATGAACGTCAACAAGTGGGTGTTAAAATATATCAATAAAATGGATCAGATAATATTATCACTCATTTACAACCTGTACCTTGTTAAAGAGCGATATAATAATGCACCTTATTAGCACAATACTGATCTAAAAAAAGGATAATAATTTAAAATTATTTACCTCTTTTTGGTCCTCATTATTTTCCATATCTTTCTCCATTTTTTGTACTTTAATTTATTTTGTTCGATTTCAATTTTTTATCTTTTCAAATTTTTAGTATTTGTTAAAGGTACGTCACAGTCGAAATCAAAAACTTGATGAAATTGAATAAATTTGAAAAGTTTAAGTAAAAGGCACATAAGTTCAACAACAAAAACACCCGCACTAAAACGAATCACTATCTTGTACGGCGAGTCAAGACCGACTGACCGACTGACTGACGGGCGTCAAGCGACTGATAGACCCATGGACGGATAACGAAGCAGTGCTCTCCGCGACGCGTGCTTTTGCTTTGGGAATCCACTCGGTGGGATCCAGTTCGATCCTCCTTCCAACCTGATATGAAGGTCTATCATCCCAAACGCACCTGATAACAGCTGATGGACGACAAATCGAAATCCAAAATCACCGCACGCGCTCATTATCAAACGCGATCTCATCATATTCCTTCATAAAATAGTTTTTATTTTCAATAAATCGTTGAGTGGAAAACAGCAAAACTGTAGCCAGATATTGTAAGTGCGTCCTAACTGTTCACCATCATTTCAAATAAAATCATCATCATCAATTTGTACATTTGCTAACCTAAGAAGTTTTACTTGAAAAATAATGTTGTTTATTTATTTACCTTAGAAGTTTTACTTCAATTTTTCTTTATTATTATTTATTTACCATAAAATTCGCACATTTGCTAACCTAAGAAGTTGTACTTCAAAATTAATTTTATTTATTTATTTACCTAAGAAGTTTACTGCAAAATTTTTTTATTTTTATTTATTTTCCATAAAATTCGTACTTTATCATCCTAAAGAGGTTTTACTTCAAAAGTAAAATTACATTTTACTTATTAGTATTTAATTTCCTGATTGGTAAAAATGAATCAGAGGAAATGCTTCATCTCACAGTTTTTTCACAACAATTTCATGGTATTAGTACAATAAAAAAATCTGTTCAGACTTAGGAACTATTTTGAATATTTTCATTATTGATTTTTTTTACATTTGGAAGTTCGACAATTCGATAGCTTTTACATTTACAAAGTTTGAAAACAGTGAAAAACAGCGAAACTGTAGCCAAATATTGTAATTGCATCCTAACTGTTCACCATCATTTCAAATAAAATCATCATCATCAATTTCCTAATTGGTAAAAATGAACCAAAGGAGATGCTTTAACTCACAGTTTTTTCACAACAATTTCGTGGTGTTAGTACAGTAAAAAATCTGTTCAAACTTAGGAACTGTTTTGAATATTTTTATTATTGTTTTTACATTTGGGAGTTTGACAAGTTCGATAGCTTTTACATTTACAAAGTTTGAAAACAGTGAAAAACAGCGAAACTGTAGCCAAATATTGTAATTGCATCCTAACTGTTCACCATCATTTCAAATAAAATCATCATCATCAATTTCCTGATTGGTAAAAATAAATCAAAGGAGATGCTCCATCTCATTGTTTTTTCACAACAATTTTGTGGTATTAGTACAATAAAAAAAATCTGTTCAGACTTAGGAACTGTTTTGAATATCTTCATTATTGTTTTTTTTACATTTGAAAGTTCGACAAGTTCGATATCTTTTACATTTACAAAGTTTGAAAACAGTGAAAAACAGCGAAACTGTAGCCAAATATTGTAAATGCATCCTAACTGTTCACCATCATATCAAATAAAATCATCATTATCAATTTCCTAATTGGTAAAAATGAACCAAAGGAGATGCTCCATCTCACTGTTTTTTCACATCAATTTTGTGGTGTTTGTACTATAAAATAAAATCTGTTCAGACTTAGGCACTATTTTGAATATTTCCATTATTGTTTTTTTACACTTGGAAGTTTAACAAGTTTGATAGCTTTTACATTTACAAAGTTTGAAAAGTATTTTCTCAGTTTTCATCTTCCCGTAGGGTAAGTTATAGTAATCACAAAAAATCTAAAAAGAAAATTTATATATATCATTACCTTTCCAAGTTTTCTGAACATTTTGGCATACCTTAGAAAATATGGGTGTATGTGTGTGTGCGGAAACAAATTTTTGTCGGTGATTTTGTGAACACGGATCAACCGATTTGAATCATTTAAAAACAATTGATTTGTATTGACTTATTAGTTTTTGGCAAATGCAGATCTAGATGTTTCAAAGATACGGGCAAAAAGTGTCAGAAATTGTAAATCAGTTTTCGAGAGAACGGAGCGTCTAATTTGAATTATTCAAAAAACGTTTTTTTTATATTAACAAAATGAAATACTGATAATTTGGAGAGGCAAATCTAGCGGTTTCGGAGATCTAATAAAAAAGCAAAAAATGCCATTTTGCGGTCAAAAATGATCACTATACGTATGCACATCAAATTATGATATATTTTATAGAGATTTTAATAATAAGGACAAATCCTGTTTACATTTTTATGAGTTCCGTACCAATGTTTATCCGTTTCGACGCGGTACACACTTGCTTAAAATCGAAAAAATTACACATTTTTTAAAAAAGTACAATTTTGAAGTTTTTTTTGAAATTTAATTTTTTGTACGGGACTTCCAGCAATTTGCCTTAAGGCACGATGCCATGCACCACTAGCTGTTTTCATAATTTATGAGCTCCTATTGAAATCATGAAGTAGGAATACAACACTTTCTCCAATTTACTGGCAGAATAAAAATATATACTATATTACCATTTGGATATTGGTGCTTTTGCTATAAAAATATAGAAAAAATATATTCTTTATTTACATTTCAAACATTTTATCCATAAGCTAATATATCTGATTCCATATTGAAATAATATCGGTTTCTTTAAAAGGTTAAGTAAAAGAGATATAACGAATATTACAAGTATTATATTAACGTTATAAGTACGATATATAAAGATAACATTAAAAAAATATCAATGATTTCTTGCTCTCAATTCCAGTAAAAGTAGAATTATCTGATGCAATGAGATTATTGCATTTTTTCTTAATTAATTTTTCAGCAAATTTGTTGGTAGAGCTTAGTTAGTAAGTAAAATCGAATATCAGTCCAGTGACTAGACATCTCAATATTTATGAGATATTTGCAATAGTAATCAAAATTTTCTAAAGCATCCTTACTCTTCTACTGCATAACATCTCAAAAGCAGACAACAAATCTTTTAACACAGAAGCTAAAAATTAATAAACATAATTTTGTTTAATTAGGACCAGGTATTTTAAGATGATTTGAACAACAAATAATTATCTACAATTTAAAAAAATCACTGTTACTAAAACCTATATAATTTATGTTTTGATCAATATTCGTTTTAAACTTATATGATTTAATGACGGATTATCGTAAATGTTTACAAAAAAATTAATTGCCATAAATTTAGACCAAAATGCGTGGGAGTATGGCTGGGTAAAACTGTTTTTTTAAGAACGTTGAAGTTTTTCTACCTGTTAGTGCGAGATGAGAAAAGTTTGTCGAATACTGATTTGTACCAGAGATTCTTAAACTTTTATTGGAAAAGAAGTTCATAAATATTTTAGTTGGGGATCAATATGAAATTGAATACTTTAAATAATACATAAAATTGGTTACGGGTTAATTTGATATTTTACTGCGATTTGTAGAGAATATTACTCATGATATGTAGAAGTTAAATTGAATGATATCTTGAATCATCTTGCTAGATTTGTATTATTTTTTATATATCTTGAAAATTTGTCTGATATAAATGTAATGTTTGACAAATATGTGCGAAATTAAATATAATATAATAAATAACACTAATATCAAAACTCCTTGCGGCACATTGGTATACTTTCACCTTGTAAATAAAAATAGACTGTTTAATCTTTTGTAGATCTTAATATATTACAAACGTAAACAACCCTTCATCAAATTTCTCTATTATTAAAAAAACTACATAATTAGTTAGTTGCGTCAACATGTGAGGTCAAAAACAACTAATTCTCTCAGAAATTAAGTATCTCTTCGTATGAGATATAAGTGCATGAAAATCTGTAATGCAAGTCGATAACACACTGAGTTTGCATTATCGAATTGTTACATAATCACTTGATAGTAAGATTTTGCAAAGTATCTTTTGAAGAGCATTTCATGAGTCTTCATGAGTTCGAAAAACTGACTTTTCACGTATAATACATAGCAATGCATTTGGTCGCGTATTTTTGTGTTCATTACATAATTTTTATCAGCGATAGAATAGTTTTCATATCTCGTATCCAACAAGTGACGACAAATACACATCCAGTGAACGTGGTTTGAACTCCAATTTCGAGTCAAAAGTAGACATTTTTGTAATGTTCAATCCATTCATAATATCGTTAAATTTTTACTCGGAAAGCATTTACTCCAACAGATAAGCATTCCGTTGTCTAGACTTCTAGGCTTCGATGGCGAGAGTGTCTTAATTAGACATCGTGTGGATTGGTTTCTTCATTTTCAATGTATCGGAGATAGTTATTTTATTTGTACGCGATCGCGCATCTGATCCTACATGGCTGAGCAAATAATGATTATTTATCTAAAGCTCTTCCAATAGTAGTAAATAAGACGTGTTTAAAACGCACGACGGCATAATTCATATAAAATTATTATCGGAAACTATGATTTACAATAAACGTTTGCGGCAACGCTTTTAGTGTTAAATTTATAATAGGATTTAAGTTAAGAAGAAGAAAGAGTTAAACTACCGTTTGGTTTTCTTCACACTTTCGGACACGTGTGGGAATTTCGAACACGAAAAATTGATAAAAAATATTAAGACAAATAAAACATCTAAAATAAAATTTATAGATCTGATAAAATTATCAGTAAATAATAAATTACGAAATAAATTAAAAAAACGAACCCATATTGAGATCTATTGATGTATTGACGATTGATATATATATATATATATATATATATATATATATATATATATAAATAAATTGTTGGGAACTATTATGTATTTATTATAATATTTTATGTTATCCCAACTTCATTAGGATAAGTTTGTAATTTTAAGTTTTAAGTTGGTCCCAAATCCAGAATTTATATAAAACTTTTATGAATCGACCCTTATTGTACCAATAAATAAATACATAATATGAGAACTACTCAACAATATACATAAGGTAGGGAGGGGCACAAAGATCCTATTTGAATTTGAGCAATGATATTGTGAAAACCAAACCAATTATATCACGACAAATAACACAAATCAAACAAACAAACAACTATCTAACTATAATAGGTAAAATT